TTAAAACAGATTTAATTGAAGCCATCTCGTCTCACTTTTCTTTCTTTTCTTAGTTTCTTTCTTTTCCGTTAAAAGTCTCGGTTCTAAGTTAAGTGTTGCTGCAAAGTTTCGTTTTAACGTTTCAACTGCAAAACCAGCTTTCAACTTCAAAGACTTTCATTCATCCGCGCCAACACACCACGTGACTGGCTGTCCAAAGTCTATCCAGGCACACGAGAAGATCAGCCAAGCAACGGACCGGGGAACCCCCCTTCACGACAAAAGGGAACCCCAAAGCAAGGACAAGCAAGTACCTCCAGACTTTTAACTGAACTGGTGATTTTAATATCAAATTGAATTACCCGTCTAAGAAACGATAAAAGGGTGAAATTAATTATTGATGGTTCGTTCAGGTCATGTCTTTTAAGTGCATATAGAAACTTGGGATCTCATCTAACTCCTAAAACTCAGTCTTCCTCACTCTCTGTCTTTCTTCAACTTGTATGAATGCGTGTGCGTGTGTTTGTGTTATATTAGTTTTATGTGTGTTAGTCATAGGCTTATAATCAATAAAGTATTGTTTGTATTTGAAAAGAGAAGCATTACTTGTGATATGTGCTTACCGATTTGTTGTCTTGAACTTCGATCTAAGTTACCTATGCTTTGACCCTTGATTTATTTCTTAATTTAGCTGTTAGCTGGGAATTAGTCTTTCTTGGCCAAGAAGATATTATATTTCCTAGAATTAATAATTGTTTATGCTTTCCGTTCATTGGATGAACTGATAAACTGATCATACTATTGATTTTGCTACAGTAAATTCTGAAAATAATTCAATTACTAATTATTGATCATAATCCGTTATGAATAATAATTAATTATATTTATACGTGCGTACAATCGCTACACCATTCTTACGTTTCGCCTTCGAGGGTCATGTTTATCAATACGCCGTTCTCCCGTTCGGCTTATCTCTGGCGCCCCGCACATTTACGAAGTGCATGGATACGGCGCTCGCCCCCCTGCGGAGTCAGGGGCTGCGCATATTGAATTATCTGGACGACTGGCTGATTTTGGCCCAATCACAGACGGAGCTTCTGTCGCACCGCGCAGTTCTCCTCGACCATCTGAAAACGCTGGGCCTCTCTGTCAACTGGACAAAGAGCTCCCTTCAACCCAGTCAATCGATTTCCTTTCTAGGAATAGATTTGAACTTGGTCACGATGACGGCTCGCCTGTCTACACAGCGCGCGCGCAGTGTACAGCGACTGGCCGCCTCGTTTCAGATGGGCACCCGCTCACCTCTGAAAACTTTTCAGAGGATGCTGGGTTACATGGCCTCAGCCTCCGCTGTGCTTCAGCTGGGCCTTCTGCACATGCGTCCGCTTCAGCTTTGGTTAAACAGCCGTGTACCCCACCGCGCGTGGAACACGGGCCGCCAGCTGATCAGAGTTACGCAGACATGTCTCACGACGCTGCAGCCATGGACAGTAGCAGAATGGTTTCGACAGGGCGTCACGATGGGGACCTTTTCTCGCCGAAAAGTCATCTCGACAGATGCATCCAACACGGGTTGGGGTGCAGTCTGCGAGGGCTCACCGGCCTTCGGCCATTGGTCGACACAGGAAAGCCCCTTACACATAAACTGTCTGGAAATGCTTGCGGTCGAGAACGCGCTTTCGCGCTTCCTCCCGCTCATTCGGGGACACCACGTCCTGATCCGTTCGGACAACATGGCTGTGGTCTCCTATCTCAACCGTCAGGGCGGTGTCAGGTCCAGGAATCTCTTCCTACTGACACACCGCATTTTAGTTTGGTCTCAGAGCCGCCTGCTCTCGCTCAGAGCGACGCATGTGCCGGGCCATCTGAACGACGGTCCAGACATACTGTCCAGGAACCTCATCTCCTCAGGAGAATGGTCCCTGAACACACAGACGGTCCAAATACTGTGGCGGCTATTCGGCAGAGCAGAGGTGGACCTCTTCGCGTCAGAAGAGAACGCTCACTGCCCAATATTTTTATCAAGGAGCGAGGACGCGCTAGCCCAGGGATGGCCTCGCCGCCCGCTCTATGCATTCCCTCCGATCGCTCTGCTACCACAGGTAATTCAGAGGATCAGGGACACACGCCACTCGGTGCTCCTCATAGCCCCGCGTTGGGAGAGTCAGAATTGGGTTCCGGAGCTCACTCAGCTGTCGCAGACAGCCCCGTGGCCCATCCCAGTCAGAGCAGATCTCCTCTCTCAGGCTCGCGGCACGATCTGGCACCCCCATCCACGGCGCTGGGCGCTACATGCATGGGTGATCAACGACTATTCGTTGATTTGCCAGAAGGAGTAAGAAACACTATCATACAGGCTAGAGCACCTTCCACGAGAATGCTCTATGCGTCTAAATGGTCTGTGTTCTCAAAATGGTGCACCGACAAACATCTGGACCCACGGTCATGCGAGGTGCCGTCTTTGCTTGTTTTCCTTCAAGAGATGCTGGACAAGGGCAGGTCCCCCTCCACTCTCAAGGTTTACGTGGCAGCCGTCGCGGCGTTCTCTGAACCCCGACGCGCTCAGTCCCTGGGCAAAGACGAGTTAGTCATCCGCTTCCTCAGGGGAGCTAAGAGGATGAACCCTCCGCGCCCCCCTTCGGTTCCTATCTGGGATCTTTCTATAGTTCTCGAAACTATGAAAGCACCCCCGTTCGAACCGCTCGAGTCTGTGGACCTAAAATACCTCTCGCTCAAGACCGTTTTTCTGACGGCTCTGTCCTCAGTAAAACGCGTGGGGGATCTTCACGCGCTCTCATCCAGCGCCGCGTGTCTCGAGTTTGGTCCGAATGATTCTGTTGTCATTCTCAAACCTAGACATGGCTATGTCCCGAAGGCGATTGGTACCCCGTTCAGGGCTCAGATTATTACCCTATCGGCTCTGCCTCCATCCGATAGTGAGCGCGACGCCAATCTCCTCTGCCCGGTGCGGGCTCTGAGATTGTACACTATGCGCGCTGCCGCGTTCAGACGCGCTGAGCAGCTTTTCGTGTCGTTTGGGGGGCGCACCAAAGATCTGGCCGCCTCTAAACAGACACTGTCTAGATGGATAGTAGACGCTATCGCCTCTGCTTACGCATCTAAATGCCTGCCCTGCCCTCTGGGCATCAGGGCGCACTCCACTAGAGGCATGGCCTCATCGTGGGCATGGTCCTGTGGAATTTCCATTCATGACATTTGTGTGGCCGCGGAATGGGCCTCCCCGTCCACTTTTGTCAGATTTTACAACTTGGAAGTTTCCGCCTTGCAGGCAAAATTACTAGCTGTCTAAACGACCAGCTCCCTAAGAAGCTGCATTACTGGGAGTCCCTCACACAACCGGTTCGCCCCTTGTGCTCTCCTTAAATGATTATACACTTCATGTGCCCGCTCTGCCGGCCTCATACATGCTTATGTATACACTTCATGTGCCCGCTCTGTCGGCCTCATAATACATTCACTCCACGTTAAAAATCCCCCGGTATCACCCTGGGATTCATGAGTGGACTCATAGCGCGCACGGCGTTGACCAGGTGTTCCCGCAGCGTAAGCTAGCTTACGCAATACGAGAGAACCTCTCGTAAGAGAACGAATCGGTTACCTAACGTAACCTCGGTTCTCTCTAGAAGAGGGAACGAGTATTGCGTTCCCGGCCGTGCTTGCGCTACTAGCGTTTCGCTTCACGCTGAAATAAATCAACATATAAGCCTGGGAGAGACTGTTATATACACCATGGCCACGCCCATTCTGGCGGGCCATGACGCAATCAGCGCGCGGGCGCCTCTCATTGGAAGCGAGTTCAGCCCCGCTCTCCCATAGGCTTAAGCAGTTCTCTCTGAGCGAACCAATGAGCTGCTAGCTAGCCTGCTCTAGGTCTGCCGCAGAGGAACTGCGTTGTGTATGGATACAAATTATGAAATAATTTTTGGCTTCAATATCTCAGCAAAGATGAATCTTTCCCGCAGCGTAAGCTAGCTTACGCAATACTCGTTCCCTCTTCTAGAGAGAACCGAGGTTACGTTAGGTAACCGATTCGTTTTCTGTGATAAAAACGGGGTTTTCGTGTAAATGAGAGGCCAAACCGCAGGGAAGTATCTGCGTCTTCCCTTCGTGTAAACGGGGCAATAATTGTATTCTATTGGCTTTATCCATAGACTGTAAAAAAAGATGGACGACGCCCCTTCGTTCTTTTCCATTGGAGAGAACTGAAGCCGCCAGCGTCCCGATATGGCGCTGACATCTTGAACTTGAGTCTGCGCAGTAGCGTTTTCGGGACCAGTCATGCGCAGTCGTGAGCAGGAAGTAAAGCCGCGAAATCAAGGCCCCGCCCTCACTCTCGCCGAATCAATCGCTAGCACACGCCCTGCACTTTTCTTAAGTGGCCTCGGTCTGCTCCGTTCCTCTCCAATGATGTCTGCTGTTTGCAGTGCCTCGTTAAAATAAGGTAAATACAACTACTAACCACATAGTCAACATTATGAAAAAAAGTCCGTTGGTGCTTCAGTGACTACTCCGCATAGAGAACCTGTCAATCACAGCTGTCAATCATGATGTCACAGCACCGTTTTTATAGCATCAAATAACTAACTAAAAACAAACTTATTTTAAAAACAAACACTTGAAATTACATCAACGTGTTAAAAACTACAGTAAATGACAGAAACTATCTTTAGAAAAAAGATATGTGAAGTGTAATTTAATTATTTAGTTGGTCTCACGTCCCGTTGAATAACATGGGGAGGCGGGGCTTATGAGCTATACTAGGACCGGTCACGGGGGGGGCGATCGAGATGTTTTGGCTTCACTTTTGAGGGCTTGTGCGGCACGCTTGGCTTTATCATGCAGTAAGGTGTTGTCTCCCAGACAGGAACACAGTGCCGGCAGAGATCCGGCCCTCATCTGGTGCATGTTGATTCCACACGGGCCGGATGTGGGCCAGATCTGGGCCGACACTCTGCTGCTGTCTGGGTTGAGAGATACGAGAGCCTGATACGCATCCTCACCTGCACGACTCTCTGCGCCTGAGTGTCGATCAGCAGAAGCCTGTTGTGGAGCGGCTGGGTCACGTACACGTACTTCTCCCTCACGCTGACCGCGGACGCCCAGACACACTCGTGTGGAGAGACGCCCGTGCTTCTGGGACACAGCTCGTCCTGCAGGGACAATATGGACACATACATTTTTGCATTATAGAAATATTTTGGGGATGGAGAAATGTGAAAATACTGACCCGGTGCAAACAATCTTAGTCATTAAAGGAGTAGTTCAATTCAGAAGTAAAATGTCCTGATGATTTACTTTCCCGCACGTCTCAAAGATGTCCACGTCTTTCTTTCTTCAGTGGAGAAGAAATGAAGGTTTTTGAGGAACACACTCCAGGATGTTTCTCCATATAGTGACTTCAATGGGGTCCAACGGGTCGAAGGTCCAGATGTGAGTTTCAGTGCAGCTTCAAAGTCTCGACACGATCCAGCCGAGGAATAAGAGTCTGATCTAGACAAACCTTCGCTTATTTTATAAACAAAATAAACATTGATATACTTTTTAACCACAAATGGTTAAAATCGTCTGAATGAAATGTTTTCCTCAAAAACCTTCATTTCTTTTCCACTGCAGAAAGAAATACATGAAGATCTTGGATGACGTGCGGGAGAGTAGATTATCAGGACATTTTATTTCTGAAGTGAACTACTTAAAATACATTTTCTTATTTCTTCGGGGGTTTTTTTGGGCTGAGCCAGGACTTACATCACTACCCAGAATCCTCTCTGTCCGCGCGATGCGTCTGCGGATCTCACAGTTGCCGGGCTGCAGTATAATGATCCCTTCGCTGGAGAAGATGTAGAACATGTTCCCCACACTGAGCCCTACAACAACACACAGGTGCATTGATTACACACACACACCATTACTCGTCTTCTGAGAGAAAACAACACCAAACCGGGCTGAGAAAACCATTCCTAACAATCTGGCTGTCACACGGTTAGGCAGCAGAGACTATTAAAACCTCCTGCAACGACTCCAGAAAGTGCATTTGCAGGTCTGTCACCAGGGAGCAAACACCAGCTGCTAATGAGTGTGTGTTCACGTGATGCTCACAGCCGCCATGTCGTCAGAAAGCAGAAGGTGTAACAACACACAGGGGCAGGTAAGCTACGACTGACCAGTGTTAGCGGTCATCTGGAGGACTGTGGTGCTAATGATGATGTGCAAGACCGCAGTCTTAACCCCCTTAAAAAAAAAGTTATGTTTAGCTTTTTTAGAATCGTTTACTTCATTGGAATGGTACGAAACTTGGTAAAGGTTTTGGCACTTACTGTGTGAAAACACACACACAAAAAAAAAATCATGGACATGATTTGAAAAGGTTAAATTGTCCTGTTAAAAATAGTCAAAATGCAAATTTTCTGAGATATCAACCTCGGATTTGGAACACAACTTTTTATGGCTTTAATTTTCTAGCAGTTTTAGAGTAAAACATGATTTTGAAAGTATATATTTCATATAAAAATTGAAAATAGTATTTTTGTTCATTTTTCATAACAATAGACGTTCTGTTACTTTTTTAAAGTTCAATTTTTAAACTTTTTCACTTCAGCAATAATTCAGCAAAGATTTATGACAGTTTAAGTTGGAAATTACAGGTCAAATTTCTATGCTCAAAAAGCCAATAAATGGTTTGTAAATAAAGCGTAAATATAATATAAAAATATAAAAATACCCTGAAAATACAAAATATTAATTAAAAAACATGATCAAACTAAAATTTAGTACATTCATTTAATTGACAAAAATATAAAATATAATTCAGTCATTTTTGAGTGACACGTGAAGAGCTCCAGAGTTTAAGCACTTCCGTTTATTTCCCAGGCATTTTGGAAAATGTCTCAGACACAGAAACACCGGCCCAAACTATTTTACCAATCAGCCACTTTGCAAAAAATGCAGAGTATGAAAACGTACGATTTGTATAAAAAGTAAGCAATGTGCTGCATCTCTAACCACACATCTCTAACCACACATCTCTATCCACACATCTCTATCCACACATCTCTAACCACACATCTCTATCCACACATCTCTATCCACACATCTCTAACCACACATCTCTAACCACACATCTCTATCCACACATCTCTAACCACACATCTCTAACCACACATCTCTAACCACACATCTCTAACCACACATCTCTAACCACACATCTCTATCCACACATCTCTATCCACACATCTCTAACCACACATCTCTATCCACACATCTCTAACCACACATCTCTATCCACACATCTCTATCCACACATCTCTATCCACACATCTCTATCCACACATCTCTATCCACACATCTCTAACCACACATCTCTATCCACACATCTCTAACCACACATCTCTATCCACACATCTCTATCCACACATCTCTATCCACACATCTCTATCCACACATCTCTAACCACACATCTCTATCCACACATCTCTAACCACACATCTCTAACCACACATCTCTATCCACACATCTCTATCCACACATCTCTATCCACACATCTCTATCCACACATCTCTATCCACACATCTCTATCCACACATCTCTAACCACACATCTCTATCCACACATCTCTAACCACACATCTCTATCCACACATCTCTATCCACACATCTCTAACCACACATCTCTATCCACACATCTCTATCCACACATCTCTATCCACACATCTCTATCCACACATCTCTATCCACACATCTCTATCCACACATCTCTAACCACACATCTCTAACCACACATCTCTATCCACACATCTCTATCCACACATCTCTAACCACACATCTCTATCCACACATCTCTATCCACACATCTCTAACCACACATCTCTATCCACACATCTCTATCCACACATCTCTAACCACACATCTCTATCCACACATCTCTAACCACACATCTCTATCCACACATCTCTATCCACACATCTCTAACCACACATCTCTAACCACACATCTCTAACCACACATCTCTATCCACACATCTCTATCCACACATCTCTAACCACACATCTCTATCCACACATCTCTATCCACACATCTCTATCCACACATCTCTATCCACACATCTCTATCCACACATCTCTAACCACACATCTCTAACCACACATCTCTATCCACACATCTCTATCCACACATCTCTAACCACACATCTCTATCCACACATCTCTATCCACACATCTCTAACCACACATCTCTATCCACACATCTCTATCCACACATCTCTAACCACACATCTCTATCCACACATCTCTATCCACACATCTCTATCCACACATCTCTAACCACACATCTCTATCCACACATCTCTATCCACACATCTCTAACCACACATCTCTATCCACACATCTCTAACCACACATCTCTATCCACACATCTCTATCCACACATCTCTATCCACACATCTCTATCCACACATCTCTATCCACAGATCTCTAACCACACATCTCTATCCACACATCTCTATCCACACATCTCTAACCACACATCTCTATCCACACATCTCTAACCACACATCTCTATCCACACATCTCTATCCACACATCTCTAACCACACATCTCTAACCACACATCTCTATCCACACATCTCTAACCACACATCTCTATCCACACATCTCTAACCACACATCTCTATCCACACATCTGTAACCACACATCTCTATCCACACATCTCTATCCACACATCTCTAACCACACATCTCTATCCACACATCTCTATCCACACATCTCTAACCACACATCTCTAACCACACATCTCTATCCACACATCTCTATCCACACATCTCTAACCACACATCTCTATCCACACATCTCTATCCACACATCTCTAACCACACATCTCTATCCACACATCTCTATCCACACATCTCTAACCACACATCTCTATCCACACATCTCTATCCACACATCTCTATCCACACATCTCTAACCACACATCTCTATCCACACATCTCTAACCACACATCTCTAACCACACATCTCTATCCACACATCTCTATCCACACATCTCTATCCACACATCTCTATCCACACATCTCTATCCACACATCTCTATCCACACATCTCTAACCACACATCTCTATCCACACATCTCTATCCACACATCTCTAACCACACATCTCTATCCACACATCTCTAACCACACATCTCTATCCACACATCTCTATCCACACATCTCTAACCACACATCTCTAACCACACATCTCTATCCACACATCTCTAACCACACATCTCTATCCACACATCTCTAACCACACATCTCTATCCACACATCTGTAACCACACATCTCTATCCACACATCTCTATCCACACATCTCTAACCACACATCTCTATCCACACATCTCTATCCACACATCTCTAACCACACATCTCTATCCACACATCTCTATCCACACATCTCTATCCACACATCTCTATCCACACATCTCTATCCACACATCTCTAACCACACATCTCTAACCACACATCTCTATCCACACATCTCTATCCACACATCTCTAACCACACATCTCTATCCACACATCTCTATCCACACATCTCTATCCACACATCTCTATCCACACATCTCTAACCACACATCTCTAACCACACATCTCTATCCACACATCTCTAACCACACATCTCTATCCACACATCTCTATCCACACATCTCTAACCACACATCTCTATCCACACATCTCTATCCACACATCTCTATCCACACATCTCTATCCACACATCTCTATCCACACATCTCTAACCACACATCTCTAACCACACATCTCTATCCACACATCTCTAACCACACATCTCTATCCACACATCTCTATCCACACATCTCTATCCACACATCTCTATCCACACATCTCTAACCACACATCTCTATCCACACATCTCTATCCACACATCTCTATCCACACATCTCTAACCACACATCTCTATCCACACATCTCTATCCACACATCTCTATCCACACATCTCTATCCACACATCTCTAACCACACATCTCTATCCACACATCTCTATCCACACATCTCTATCCACACATCTCTGACCACACATCTCTAACCGCACATCTCTATCCACACATCTCTAACCACACATCTCTAACCACACATCTCTATCCACACATCTCTATCCACACATCTCTAACCACACATCTCTATCCACACATCTCTATCCACACATCTCTATCCACACGTCTCTAACCACACATCTCTATCCACACGTCTCTAACCACACATCTCTATCCACACGTCTCTAACCACACATCTCTAACCACACGTCTCTAACCACACATCTCTAACCACACATCTCTAACCACACATCTCTATCCACACATCTCTAACCACACATCTCTATCCACACATCTCTAACCACACATCTCTATCCACACATCTCTAACCACACATCTCTATCCACACATCTCTAACCACACATCTCTATCCACACATCTCTAACCACACGTCTCTAACCACACGTCAGCGAAAGCCTCGTGAGACTGCGTTGGGAAAGCTCTCTAAGGAGTCAGGTTCACACAGAAAACATTTGTGCAGGTAAAAACACGAGACGCAGGTCAGTGGAGGAAAAAAAATTGGTCTGTCAAGTGTTTTTTTATGTTTTTATGTAATTAATTGAACAAATTAATCAAATTTGGCTGAGAAATTACCCCCAAAAGTTCATTTAAAGTCATTACTGAGTTAGATAAGGAAAGCATTAAATAGACAAAATAAAAAGTAGCTTTAGAAAGAAATATTTTATTTGATTCAACATAGAATTTATTATTAACGGCCATGTAAATTATGACATTTTTTGGTGAACTGTCCCTTGGGTATTTATTATTATAGACGCTTACAGACGTCCATCACGTTTACATTGAAAGCTCTGTGAAATGTTTGTTCTGTGTGAACTGAAGACTTGAATGTTCAGTATCTTAATGACTGGAGCTGGAGATCAGCCGAGTGTCACACATACTGGATGAACGTGACACATTAGGGCTTTCCACACTTGAAGTAGTTAACCCTGGGTCATTCTAAACTCTGGCTAAACTGAATCTCAGGATTCAAAAAAAGTCAGAATTGTGAGATAAAAAAAGTCACAATTATCTTTTTTATTTTTTATTCTGTGGTGAAAACAAGCTTCCATTCAAATGAGTCAATTGTTGACATCCAATGCAAGTTGTGGATCGATGCTCAGCTTATTAGGAGAATTATCTGAGGAATGAAATCTCTGACTTACACAGTGTGAGACACATTGTTTTTTTTCCAATGAGAAGGCAAGCAAAAGTCTCAAATTGCTCTCATTTGTGTCTCTTCTCTGCACTATGGCCAGGTACGACACAGACAGAGAGAGTAAAATGCCCTTTGCCGTGGTTAAGAGATCATGAGTAGCTTAACGCTTCATGGTAATGACTAGGGGTGTAGCGATCCCCTCATGTCACGATTCCAAACATATCACGACACTAAACTCACAATACGATATTATTATTGTAATATTCCAAGACATATAATAAAATATTACCAAAAAATGCTAAATTTGATATTACATTGTGTGTGTAAATGAATAGTCTTGGAATTGGTGCTGAAACCCAAAGCACAGGACAATAGAAAAAACCAGAATAACAATATTCATGATTCTGAAGCTGAAAATACTGAATTATTGTAGATTAATATGATGATCTCTGTCACCGACTAGATATATTTAATATAATGTAGGACACTTTTACTGGTAACATCAGACATCTGGCATTATCAGGACCACAGATATTCCCCCATTGCATTATTATACATTATATTCAACATTATACATAGTATACTGACACTAAAACTCTGTAAACTTGAATTTTTTCAAGCACAGTAATTTTTATTTTGGGTGAACTATCCACAATACATATTGTCACTATCTACGATACATATTGTTGCATTTTTATTGCGATATATTGTGACACGATGTATTGTTACACTCCTAGTAATGATATTACACTAGTCTTTCACCAAGTAATAGTCCATTACCCAAACAGCAACATAGATTCGGCCCAGATCTGGCCCACACCCGGTACGCATGTGTACCAGATGTGGCCCGTATCTGGGCCGACACTATGTTGCTGTCTGGGTAGCTTAACTTTGTGCTGTTACGACACAATTAATACATGTTTCAGATATGCCAGGATTTGTTCATTTCAGTAAGAACTTATTCAGTCCATACACACAGTCTCTTTAAAAATGTTTTTTTTTTCTTCATAAAATACATTAAGCAGACATATAATCAGACATTTATTTACCTTCCTCCCTCCAGAGAATGTTGGCCACTAGATGGACAGCATGAGGAAACACAGAGCAGAGTTAGTGGACAGCAGAGACACACACAGGACACGTGAGGAACGGGACTGTCTGCAATAATAGTGATTTCACATTAATAAGATCCCCTGGACTACTAAAAGATCTGGTAATAAAGGCCCTGAAGGTGGAAATGTGCTTCATTTCAGTATCACACTGTGCTTTTTCTCTGAGATTCCTTGGTCAGACTTTACTTGAAGGGGTGTGCATAAGACTGACATGACACCTTCATAATCATGACATGACACATGTTTATGACAAGTGTCATTCGCTCAATTATGACATTTTTAATGCAAATATGACTTTGTTTGAGATGTCTTTGTTGTGACAACTTGACATAAACCAATACATCATAACCTGCAGTGTCTTTGTCATGACAACTTGACATTACTAAGACAACATAAATTGTCATAAATATGTCATAAACATGACATATCAGATTAATGATCAAACTTAAGAAACCACTTAGCTTTAGGGTTAACATTACATTAAACTGTCAGGTAATAGGTTTTGACATTGGCTGTCATGAGGCATTATAACCACTGTAGTTGAGGTCAAGAAAAATATTCATGACACAGTTATAATGGCCTCATGACAGCCAATGTCAAAACCAACCACATGACAGTTTAATGTAATGTTAACCCATAAATCTAAGTGGTTTCATTAATCTGCTATGTCATGTTTATGACATATTTATGACAATGTATGTTGTCTTGGTTTATGTCAAGTTGTCATAACAAAGACATCTCAAACAATGTCATATTTGCATTAAAAATGTCATAATTGAGCGAATGACACTTAATGACAGTTGCCATAAACATGCATAAAACCTCCTTCATATTCATAACATGTGTCCTGTCATGATTATGAAGGTGTCATGTCAGTCTTATGCACACCCCTTCAAGTAAAGTGTTGCCGATTCCTTTAGTGAGTCCCTCTGAGCTCACTGAAACAGAAGGCAGATATTACTAAAGCCTTGTCACACATGGACATGCACTTTTCAGAAACGTGTCTGGTATCCATTCTAGAAATCAGCAGAAATACAGTGTAGAAAAACACAACAACAGCAGTGTACAGCAACAGTAGAGAAGTATTTAGCATTGCTTTGGTTGATGTTTTTATGCGTCTCAGAGACACCAAATTTAGTCAGTTTCCATTGGGAAAAGTTGAGGCATGATATCAAAGTGAAACTTTATACTTTATTTTCATAACCTCATGAAATATCAACCTGCTTGTTCAATTTTAAGTCTATTTTTCGAGATATTAAATTGGCCTTGAGGTCTCTCAGCTCCAAAACACGAGGGTTAACATATAAAAGACTTATACAAAGGTCTTATTCAAGATGATTTGAATGCAAAAATAACCAGCCTTTGTCCTCTTCGTATGGGACTTGTCACCTGTCTTTTATGAGGCCCTTTATATTCAACAAAGACATTGTGTTACAGAAAATATGACGGATGGAAGTTGTATTATAACACTTTGATGGAGCTCATGGACAGAAAACACTACTTTTATTCCTTCTAGTTTTATCATGCTGATGCAAGTCTTCCATGTCTTACTGTATATTACTGACACGTACTAATATAATTAAGAAATAAGGCATGGGAGGAAGGTACTGATGCATGATTTACACCTCTTTCAGTAATAATGTCGGGTTAAGGTTGTATTGTATTACTCCACTAAGGCCAAATTTGGCCGGAAAATAATCCCCCATTTACTGACATAATCAGATCTATAGACCTTCATTTCACTGTAATTGAACACTGTAAATTTAACAGTCCAGAAAATATCTATAATTTTCGAAACAGGAATTGGCTTATGGGCAAAGACACCACAGGGTTGTTCACATCTGAAGATGTTTATTGCTGTATGACCATTAAAACCGTATTAATGACAAACTGTCCTTCCCGCATTAGTGACTTCATTACATATGAGCCTACTTGTAAACCCTTCCCAGTAATGACTGAACCAGCAACCCATACGATAGAAGAGTTTACCACTACATCTGAGCCAACAACACGATTCTCCCAAATACAGTACAGAGCATCACAACAAAAATACTAGCGAGTGACTACAATCACACTGTAAACAAGTGGTAACCTGCAAATGCTACTATAAGGGCTTATTCTGCCTGATTTAAAGGGATAGTTCACCCCAAAATAAAAAAAAAATTGTCATTTACTCACTCCTAGCATTGTTAAGGAAGCAGAAACACTCTGTCGGTTTAAATCTAGACTCTTTAACCTAGCATGCACTTAACATGTAATCAGTTAAATGATTGTTAGGCTGCATAAATAAGGTCAGCCGGAACTGGGAACACTTCCTACAACACCTGATGAACTCGTTACATTATAAGAAGAATGGCATCTACGCTAGTATTAGTCGCTCTGTTTATCCCGAGGTTTACAGTAGTCAGCCGGATCCGAGCCGTATCCAGATCAGATGGTGGACCTGCGCCTGCACACGTCCACAACACAGCCCTGAAGTGCCAGCGGAGACAGAGTCAACTAGACTATCCTCTGCGAAGGCCTCATTGACTAGCCTGGCTCCGCTACGTACTCTCAATTTTCATTTTCCTTCAGTTCTACGTCTGGGATTGTGGTGTATTCTTTGGTTTTCTCCGGTCAATTCTTTACCGGTCCAATCGGCGAACAGAGGGAGTGGGTGAGAACGATGACGTTGATGTTGTGCGCTAGTTTGAGTCGTCATACGTCACGACCAAACGTTAGCGATTGGTTATGTCAGATCCAGAGTGACTCTGGGCAGATCCAATAGTTTTAGACTTCAACAGAGGACCGCCTACAAGGAAGTTAACGCTTGTCAATGGAGCGAGGCCAGACTCTCTGTACGAATGAAATGTACGAGAGTCTGGTGGGACCAGGCTACTCATTGACACCTCAAAAGTCAATTTTTTTCACAAAATTTTTGTTCTTCCTCTGTACAGATCAAAATGATTCCTGTTCATTGTTCCATCCATTGTTAAAAGCGCTATATAAATGAAGATGACTTGACTTCACACGGATCCGTGGAAACGACTAAAAACGCTGTATAATGCATGCCAGAAAAGATATTGGCGATGTCACTTTGTAAAGAAAGACTACGCGCACAATTACATATTCAAACGCGCAGGCCTATTGACTAGACCGGTTTCACAGATTCCCGATTTTAAAGTTTACACGGAGATGATAACGGTATCGTTTTCAAATAAACAATTTCAAAGTTTGCATTCTCAGGCCACCAAAACACCACTGTTGTGTAAATTAATGGCCAGAACGCAATAAAAGTTGAAAACGGTGTCGTGCAAACGGCCCTTAAGTTAATAACTAATGATTTTTACAACGGAAATGAATTAATCAAAAACTTACTTAAGCTGGACAGTGACTCTCTTTCTAGATCTTCCGTACAACCTATGTTGCATTCATTTCCTATTATCACTGTGAAGCTGCTTTGAAACAGTCTGCATTGTATAAAGCGCTACATAAATGAAGGTGACTTGACTTGACTCAAGTTGTTCCAAACCTGAGTTTTTTCTTCTGTTGAATAAAAATATATTTTGAAGAATGTTGGTAACCAGTGTACGGTAGCCAGTAACTTCCATTGTGGAAAAAAAAATACTACGGAAGTCAAAGCCTACCGTCACCAACATTCTTCAAAATATCTTCTCTTGTGTTCAACAGAAGAAAGAAACTCATTGAGGTTTTGAACAACTTGAGAGTGAGTAAATGATGACAGAGTTATCATTTTTGGGTGAACTAAAAATAGCTTTGTTTGTATAAATTGAAATAGGTAGATGGTTGGGTGTTAATAATTTTGACTTGAATAAAACCAGTTCAACTACATCTAGATGGCGGACTAGATCCGCTACACTGCTGATTATTATTGCTGCTGATGCAGAGCAAGTTTGGACTTGCTACTGCTAACAGATACACAGATACACAGACACGCTGTTGTGAGCATGTGAGATATAAATAGACAATCCCGTGGTAGATCTAGGCAGGTGGAGCTGGGGGAGGTGGAGGGGTTCAGAGGAACTAGCCTACAGCAAACACTGGACCAGACTATTTAAATGATGAGCACGCAATCTCATTGGTTGCGGGATCAGCAGACCAATCAGCTTGTGCCATGCGGTAATGATGTGATTGCTTGCAGATTGCATGTAAACGACCGACTAGCCCTCTAGAGTTTCATGACTGAACTACATATTTAAGTTAAATAAACTTTTTTTTAGTGCATAGTTCATTACATAATCATTACAATCTTTGCTGAAACAGATTCTATATCATCACTCACGTGTCTTACGCGCCGAATCTTCCACAAACAGAGATGAGATGTCTTCATCCACGCCAACCTCGTTTCTAGCGATGCATGTATAAGCCCCAGTGTCTTCATAACGCACACTTCCGATGTGAAGCTCACTGCCATTAGCTGAAGAAATACAACAACACAGAGTTAGATGATCACAGATCGCATTTACTGTGTAATCCCTATATTTCCTATCTCTTCCCTGCTAAACAATCCAGGATGGCTGGTCCAGTATGGGATGGTGGACTGCTAGCCCGGGTTAAGGAGTGAGGAGTGCTGGTGGACCAGCTCAGTTTGACTGACCAGCAACTATACCAGCTCTAACCAGCATAAACCAGCATGGACCAACACGGGATTCAAGCTGGATTGTTAAGCAGGGTTAACACTCGGGGTGTGCAGCAGAGCCAATCTAAATAGACATATAGCTGTAAATGTGTGTGAAGTGGTATTTAAATTCATATTACTCTGGGAGACGCACAGAGATGGCAATGCATTATTTCATTTGCAATCGCTCTGAAAAACACTCATTTACTTCACACACTCATTATTGCGTAGTGATTTTAGAGGATTGTGTAAAATATTGTGCTATGAACCCCTGGCTCAGCTGTTATCCAGCAAACAGGAAGAGTGACTGTGTATGCCGAATATGTTTCCTATTATTCGGTAGAATTCATTATTCAATTTAAAGCCATTATCAGTGCCTTTCCGAATAAGGTGTTTTGCTTCGGGCACATCCCTAGTTAACACACACACACCAAAGAAGAAAAAGTGCCTCTAACAAAATCAACAAGCACCTACAGGGCAATAACATAAATCTCAAAAGTAACTTTGAAGTGTTTGTTCCTAGAGTCGACCAATAACATTTTTCATTGACAGAGCTTTGGGTGAAGGCATTCCTAAACCCATAAAGGCTTCCCTGTGGTGCAGCTAATACTGTGCCGAGTTATAAAGCCCAATACTTAGATTTATTGAGTGTTTGTTTTTTCAGCAGAAATGTTTTCTTTCAAAAAATGACCAAAGGAAGGAAAGGTAAAGTTGGCGTGTCTTGTCTTATATTTCAGAACTTTTTCTTTTAAATTGGGTTTCTTTTGTCAAGTAACCTAAAACTGTGTTTCATGTGGTGGCATCTAAACTCAAGCCAAAATAAGATGCTGAATAAACAGATGAGAATGATGTGTGGCACAGGATGACGATTATCAAGAGAAATAAACTTTAATAAACACTCAGAGAAAACCACAACCACTTTAAACGTTAACGTGAGACAATGAACTGAGAGAAACTGAGGGCTTAAATACACAAAGAAAGATCATTAACGGAACAAGGAACAGGTGCGAACTAATCAGGAACCATGACAACTAATGAATGAACGAGAACTCAGGCAAAACAGTGAAGAGGAAAATGAAACTGATGCCCCGTTTACACGAAGGGAAGACGCAGATATTTCCCTGCGGTTTGGCCTCTCATTTACACGAAAACCCCGTGTTTATCACAGAAAACGATTATTTCTAAAAACTCCAGCCAAAGTGGAGATTTCTGATAACGCCGGTTCTCTAAATACCCGGCTATGTGTAAATGTGGCCTGAACATGGCAATACAACTAAACAGAACATGACTATGAAAGATCGCCAGACTGCTACAATAGTGAGCCTTCTCTACTGTAAAACCTGCTGCCACTGAATGCTAGTACACGGTAGTTACAGATCTTACATATGAAGTGGGATAACAGTTTCTACTATGTGCTGTGTGAGTTTTGAAGGCTTGTTGGGAGCGCTCTCTCTCTCTCTCTCTCTCTCTCTCTCTCTCTCTCTCTCTCTCTCTCTCTCTCTCTCTCTCTCTCTCTCTCTCTCTCTGTCTCTGTCTCTGTCTCACACACACACACACACACACACACACACACACACACACACACACACACACACACACACACACACACACACACACACACACACACACACACACACACACACACACACACACACACACACACACACACAAGATGCTACAGTTACTTTGATGGTGTTTTGCTTTTATTCTTATTGAGCTTTTGATGCTAATTAAATTCAGTTATAAAAGCATTGCAAATGACTTTACTTTCATTAGCAAATGGATTTCATGAATGAATAATTCTTCAGTCATTAAAAGGGTGTCTGACAACATTTCTCCATCATTTAATAATAAATGAGGGTCGGCTATAGGATTGTTGTGTCTGCGTGCTGAACTCAGTCGTGATATGGGCTTTAGCACGAGGACAGAGTAGTGAAGCTCATACACATCAGTGTCCATACACACATCATATCTCTGCACCTGTGAATACTGACCACATCACCTTCATGAAATCCTTCATCACCTGCCGATACTGGGATTCGGTCACCCAAAGATTCAGCGTTTGAAGTAATAATGAGCATGAAGATAATAACACTGCTTTATGGATGAACACACACGATCTCCAAATCAAAGCGGTGCTTGTAAACTGAGAACGGCTGATGTTGTGTGTGTGTGTGTGTGTGACACCTCAGGACGACTGCTCTCGAAGTTCAGCGAGTCTCAGATCCTGTCTTGATCACAACACAAGCATCTCTGAACGCTGTGTGTGTGTGACTCGAGCGCTTTCATGTGCCGCGTCAAAGATCACACACATGCAGGGAGTTCTCTCTCTCTCTCTCTCTCTCTCTCTCTCTCTCTCTCTCTCTCTCTCTCTCTCTCTCTCTCTCTCTCTCTCTCTCTCTCTCTCTCTCTCTCTCTCTCTCTCTCTCTCGCTCTCTCTCTCTCTCTCTCTCTCTCTCTCTCTCTCTCTCTCTCTCTCTCTCTCTCTCTCTCTTCACCTTTATTCTCTCATCTCTAGCACTCTACTTTCCTGTCCTTCTATTGATCTCATCCTATCTATCCTCTAAACAGACACGATTCAAACTCTTTATACTGCTTTATACTTTCTTTTGCAGCTTGACTTCATATTTCCACATCAGCTGCATTTATGTACTGCAAGTGGATTATAGACATGAAATTATAATTAGCCTTTTGCATAGAATTATTATTTGTGAGCTCATATTAATTCAGAGCCTTTAAAACATTCATTTGTCACACCGCAGGGGCATTTCAACTCGAGAAGACAAAAGAAATTGCCACCATTTCCAGGTCCGGATATTCAGGATATGCATTTTCTCTCATACAGTATATTCATATTCAATTCAACCTCATAAAAATAATGTTACGCATTTACTCGTGTACTGAATGCTGAGACAAGGGCATGATTTACAACTAGACCTTACAAGAACAAACAGCATTTAAGGCGACAGTGTCAGAGAGGAAATATGTATAATCATCATAATAATAATCAAGGTGAATATCTCTTTATTTATTATGCACGAAAAGTGAGTATTAGCTGTGAAATGTGCCTAAGGTCGATCATTTTGAGTGAACGTAAAACATATAATTTCCACCACACAATGCTATCGAATACAATATATGACGTCAGAGATATACAACCTCTGCCAGTGATGATGTGTGTGTGACCGGTGTAGACCAACTCACAGGAGTAGTGGTCATTACATCAGCTATTTTTTTGCAATTTAATCTTAGTCCTGTGTGAAATGTACTTTTTAGATTTTATCATAATTATTTATAGTCAACCTTATCCTGTTTTTGTTCGGTCAAGCTTTAGTCAATGAAAACGTATAGTCACATTTTCGTCATGGTTCATTATGGTTTAATTGATAATCACGATTATTTTGCACAAAATTATAATCGCAATGATTGTTGTAATTTTTTTAAACCAATTTTTTGTTGTTGGCACAAATCAAGAGAATGTCGACTCATATCCAGGGTTTATTTTACCTCATCTATTTATTCTAGACTATTTATCATATAAATGAACACACTTTTTCATCATAGTTTTCGTTAACGAAATGAACATGGGAGTTTATTTCCTAAAAGGAAAAAGTGTCTATAATTGGAAAAACACACAAAAACAATATTAGTTTTATTTACCTAAAAATAACAATTCATTTAAACCAGGGATTCCCAATGTTTTTGTCAGCTGAACCCCTTTGATCTAAAATGTTTATTTGAATTAGAGATTTTACATTAATGTTTCCATAATTTAGCAACTTAGCATATTTAATCTTTATTTAGTGTTTAAGTGTTTTATTTCGATTGTTTTCACTTTAAATGATTTTTTATTTGATATTTTAATGATTTAATAATTATTAGCTTTTCATCAAGTCGAACCCCAGGTGGGAAACCCTGATGGAAACTATGGTTTGTGATTGTTGACCTGGCTTCATCTATGAATATAAATCAAGACTCGTTTTTTTTGCGTCGCCATCAGTGTCTATCCACAAGTCTATCCATCTTTCCATATAGCAATAAACCAGAGATAATCATTTGACACAAAATGACACATTGTGTCTCCGCACTGAGCTAGGCCTGTTATTAGTCATACTGTGAAAGTGAATCTTGATGCTGTACATATTTCTGTGGACACAAACAGAAACAGGAGAGCTTTAAAAGAGCACTTATAAAATATTAACGTGTGCATGAAAACAGAGTGAAATGAAAGCAGACAGAAATCAGAAATACACACACACACACACACACACACACACACACACACACACACACACACACACACACACACACACACACACACACACACACACACACACACACACACACACACACACACACACACACACACACACACACACACACACACACACACACAACACAAGAGGATAATGAATGGCCAGAGAAACACAAATGCTCATCTAAACTACCGTACACCACTTCCACTAACATTCTGTGTTATAAAATCTCCAAAGAACGAATAAATAACCAAACGATGGAGCTGAAACAAATAAATGAGAGAAATGAGACCTTGAAGCTCTCGTCTTTTTTATACAGGACTTGAGCAGCACAAACATCTGATGCAAATAACAGCCTATTACAGGGTGCAATGGACCGCACTCAACCAATAAAGTGCTCTAATAAGGGGCTACTCTGTAAACAATACTGCACTCCTGCTGGAAACCACAGACCTCTTCAAGAGAGCTTTTGCCTGCGCCCGCCATCTTCATCTCATGCACTGTTTTTATCATCATCATCATCCTTTCAGGATCCGCAGGTTCACTCCCACAGCGCGTCAGCAACGACTTAAAGCACAGTGCAATCCACTGCTGTGTGTGGAGGGTGTTTGCTAACACTACATGAAGACCATGTTTAAAATCAATTATAGCTCCATTTATAAATATTAGTATATTTATAAAGACTCATTAAGACCTACACTGCATTATAAGAACAGTTATAGTTACATTAAAATTATTTTTAGTCATGCATTTGCTTTTTCAATGTGCATGCTCATAATCCATTATAGACTGATTTATGTATTTATAATAACATTATATGCAACCTGAATTGCTATAATGGTATTATATTTTAGTTGCAATGACTTTAGTAATTGTAATTTATTTCTGTCAAATAAGTGAATATATATAGTTATTAATAGCCGTGTTGTGTTCTTATAAATCCCTATTGTGAGTAATAATACAGTTACTAACCTCTTTAATTGCACCATTGATGCTTTAAGTAAAGTGAAAACGTACGATGCAATTTTCCTAAAGCAAATGTTAAGAAATCATGATGTTCTCATACATTTTAAGTTAAATGTTAAATATAACTAATGAACAATAAACAGAAAAAAACAGAAATCATTAATACAAATAGTTGAAAAAAAATATTTTTAATCTTACATACTAGCAAAACTATGGAAGCTTGTTTCCGCCACTGAATAAAAAAAATAAGAATAAATAATTGCGACTTTTTATCTCACAATTGCGAGATATGAAGTCAGAATTGTGAGAAATAAAGTCGCAATTGCGAGATAAAAAGTCGCAATTCTGAGAAATAAAGTCACAATTATGAGAAATAAAGTCGACTTTCTCACAATTGCGAGTTTACATCTCGCAATTCTGACTTTATAACACATAATTGCGAGTTTATATCTCGAAATTCTGACATCTTTTCTCAGAATTGTGAGATATAAACTCGCAATTTCGACTTATCAGGCCAATTCTAAGGGGGAAAAAAGACTAACTTTTTCCCCCTCAGAATAGTTTATATCTCACAATTCTGACTTTAAAACACGCAATTTCGACTTTATATCAATCAATTCTGACTTTATATCTCGCAATTCTGACTTTATAACACGCAATTGCAACTTTATTTCACGCAATTCTGACTTTATATGTGATGTAAACTTGCAATTGTGAGAAAAAAAGTCAGAATTGTGAGATAAAAAGTCGCAATTACCTTTTTTATTTTTCATTCTGTGGCGGAAAGAAGCTTCCGTACAAAACACTGCAACATTATTTTTTAAAGAATAATTCCAAACTGCTATAAGCAAAACCATGGATAAATTAAAATGACCATTCATGACCTCTAATGCAAACATTAGCCATAAAGACATAATTGATAACCAACTGGTACAGCAAACAAGTGTCTCTGGGTCTATCTTATATTTGATCTTTTAAAAATCAGTGTATATTATGAACATGCACATTGAAAAAGCAAATGCATGACTTATAAGGAATTATAAAAATAATTTAAATGTAACTATAACTGTTCTTATAATGCAGTATAGGTCTTAATGAGTCTTTATAAATATATTTATAGAATAGTAATACTTATAAATAAATATAAACGGGGTTATAATTCATTATAAGCATGGTCTTCATAGAAAGTGTTACCGAATGTTTTTCATATGCTGCCCATTACACGTCAGTCTGTTTATCTCCCCGTCTGTCTTTATCTGATTCCCAAGAGGAAGGGCTGAGGGTCGTACCGAGAAGTGAAATCTGCTTGGATGCGTGTGGCTGCAGGTCCAGGCCATTCTTCAGCCAGGACAGTTTGGGGTTTGGTAGACCATCTGCATGGCAGTGCAAGCTGGCAGCAACCCCCGGTTCCTGGGCCTGAGTCTCCGGGTACACCAGGATTACTGGAGGCACTAGAAGGACAAAGAGACAAAAAAAAAAAAAGAGACTGTGAACAACAGAGAAAGTCATTCAATTCCAGAACAATTGCTTTGTTTTGGATTCCCTGCTTTGTGTTAGTCAGAAATGGTCATTTAATGACACGAATGAGAGATGAGGTGGGGGGGATTGAGCAACAAACACACGTCCCGCTCAAGGCTGTTCATTCAGCTGTATCTCTCTTCAATTAGAGCGGCTCTACTGACAAAACAAGCTCGCAAACAATCACACGTATTGTCCTCGTTAATTGAAAATTCTCCCAGTATTTTCCTCTCACAAATATATTAAAGGATTTTTAACTTTTGTTTCAATACAGGGTTCGTTTACATCCCTTCATCTCCCTCAGTGAAAAAATATGCCTTGTTATTAAAGGTTTGAACAACCTAAAGATGAAAACTTTTTCCTTTATCAACACAATTTCAAAAAAGGTTTGAAATCCAACAAATACTGGAGATGAAGGGATATAAATAAGTATACACTCCAGAAGCATTCATGCAGCAATGATGGCTACAGAGAGATGGGGAAACTAGCATATAATTGTAGAAAGCAAATTACGTATATATATATATATATATATATATATAGATAGATAACTGGAACTGTCTGGAGTCACTTCGTATTCAGACCCACTGCACTAAACCTTCTTTCCTTGCCGTAACTAAAGCAGGGTTTGCTTTCTACAATTATATGAAATGTTTGATGTTTCCCCATCTCTCTGTAGCCATCATTACTGCATGAATGCTTCTGGATTTTTCAATCTAAACTTTCCAGCTTTACATCTGGACAACAGCTTGTAAGCGGCACTCTCCTCACGCTGTGCCGTAACCAGCGGTGTACCACAGGGTTCAGTCCTGGGCCCGCTGCTCTTCTCCATCCACACCTGTTCCCAATTACAATAGAGGCCAAAAGTGATGTCCAGAGGGGATATTTTGTTTCTAATGACACTACAAGTATGATTAAACCATAAAAATTATGAGGAAAATATTTTATATTTTTTAAATAGTCAAGTCAAGTCACCTTTATTTATACAGCGCTTTTTACAATACAGATTGTTTCAAAGCAGCTTTACAGTGAAAACAGGAAAATAATACAACAGAGTTTGTTTCTGTTGTACACCAGACCTAGAAGAAAATAGCGTCACAGTCCAGCTTAAGTTCAGTGATGGTTCATTTCTGTTGTAAAAAAGTTATTAATTTAGTTCATTTATCTATTGAGCTGCTTAGGAGAAAACCGTGATGTCATCGTCCAGATCAGTTCAGTTCCCTTTCGAGGGAACTCGCGATGCGTCATCGATGCTTTGGGAACGCCCCCAGCGTGAATGCGTCTGAGCATCAATGTCAACTAGTCCAATGGAAAGAATGAGCGTCACGGGCGGGTGACGTCATGACCAGGAAGGCATAAGAGCACATCCGGTGAAACGCGGCATTAGCTTCTGTGTCTCAGCAAGCGATCTGTGTTACTCTGTCTCTGTCTATTTATTGTTGTCTGTTCGATATTATTGGGAAGAGTTATGGCGAAACAACTTTACAAACTCTGTGCTTCTCCCTGCCCGCGTTATTTAACGGGTGGGGACACACACGAGCTTTGTGTAGTTTGTTTGGGAGTGGAGCATGCGGTATCAGCCTCCGAGGGGGCTGATTGCAACATTGTGAGAAGCTTTCGCTTCGCATGCTCCACTCCCGCCTGTCACTTTTCGAGGAAAGTGGCCAGGCTCGCGATCCTCAGGGTGCAGGACACGCGTCTGCCGAGGCAGCGCGGAGAATGCATTCCTGTGGATCGCGAATAGGATCTCTTTACGGGGTTGGAGACGGGTCCGCGGATCTTATCTCCTCCCTTTCCACGAGGGATCCAGTGCTCTCTCTCCGGTCTCAGGAGCCCGCGCTGCGGTCTCTTCCGCCCGGGGAGAGAAATCAATGCTTCAGTGCTCTACCTCCGAGGAGGTAGATGTGCTGGACATTGAAAGTGACACAATCATGGGGGAAGTGGATTTGCCATCTCTTCCCCAGCGTATGAGAATTATATATAGCCTATATATATATATATATATATATATATATATGATAGTTTATATATTATATATAAAATAAAGTGTATATATATAAAGAATGTATAAAAAAAATATATATAATAATAAGCTGGTGGAGGTGTTTACTAAGGCTGTAGATAAATTAAATATTTAATGGCCAGCAGAAATAAGGGGGCACTCGTCCTTAAAATAAATTGAACGAGTTTCCTTCCCTCTATTTTTCCACCTCCATCACGGGGCCTTCCATTTTTCCCGATCTGCACAGCGAGCTGTCTAGATCATGGAAAAAGCCTTACTCATTTTTTAGCCCCACATTCATGTATATTCAGATATTTGGGGGTTAAGAGAGTATGGCTGTGGGGCAATACCCCGCAGCGTCCCTGAAGGCGTCGCAGCGTTCAGTATCGTCCCTGAAGGCGTCGGCTTCTCTCACTAAACCATTAAAGAAAACAATTTTTTAATCTAGTGGGAAAAGCATATATGGCAGTGGGTCTAGCATGAGCCTGCTTGCACACTATAGCAGTGCTACAAGCATATCAGGCTGACCTGCTGTGGTATTTGGACAGAAGTGAGGGAGTTTGGCCCGATGGGGTTTGAGAACTTTGTCGGGCCACAGATTTATCTCTCAGGGATACAGCCCTTGTGGTCACTGAGAGACACCTCTGGCTCAATTTGATGGGAATCATGGAGAAAGATACAAGATAATCTCTCCCTCACTATGTCCAACCCACTGGGGCTGCTGGGCGTGAGCAGCTCCAGCCGGCTAGTTTCTCATACACAACACAGCAGCCAAAGCCTTCAAAGCAGAAGCCGGATCCGAGGACCGTTCTTCATGCTGAGAAGGCTGCGGCTCAAAAAGAAAAGGTCTGGCGCCACGGCGTCAGACCGGTGAGGGCAGCCCCAACCGGGGTGGAATGGTGTACACCTCATTATACGGTGCCCTTTCCATCTCTGTGCCCTCAGGGGACCGTTCTGCCAACCCCGCCACCCTTGGTGCTTCGGGGCGCAGCGTTCTCCAGCGAGCTTCTGGCGCAGCGTCAACTCGACATTGCGTCGGACTCGCGCCCTCTGAGGGGGGTTCGAAAACAGTCAGTTCGGGTGGTTCCTGCCAGTATGTTTCAGGTCCCCGAACTGGCTGTCTTTATTACACCAGAGGCCAGCCTCGAGGGGCTGGTTCCCTTGGTAGATTTTCTGGCAGCGCGGAAGCTACTGCCAAATATATCTCTATGGGTAATGGTAATCTCTCTGGTAATGGAGCAAGGGGTAAAGGCCCTGTTAGCAAAGAAAGCTATAGAGCAGGTGTACTCACCCGACATTGCGTCGGGTCTTTACAGTCGTTATCTCATTGTTCCAAAAAAGGATGGAGAGCTGCGTCACATACTAGATCTTCGTCTGTTGGAGTGTTTGGTGCTGGAACTCAAGTCCAAGTAGCTGACACTCAAACAGATCGTGACTCAAATCAGATCCGAGGACTGGTTTGTCACGATAGATCTAAAAGACGTATACTTTCATATCTCCATCCTCCCTCAGCACAGGAGGTTCCTGAGGTTTTCTTTGGGGCAAAGAACACCAGTATCAGGCACTTCCTTTCGGTCTAGCTCTATCACCCCGCACATTCACGAAGTGTGTAGACGCAGCTCTGGCCCCGCCAGGCTGCAGTGTATACGCATTCTGAATTGCATAGATGACTGGCTGATTCTAGCGGAATCAGAACAGTTAGCGGTTCGGCACCGAGGTGTCGTTCTCGCTCATATGCAGATGTTGGGGTTGAGGCTCAATGCCAAGAAGAGTGTGCTTTCTCCAGTACAGAGAACCACTTTCCTTGGTGTGGTATGGGATTCAGTGACGATGCGGGCCACTCTGTCGCCCGTTCGTGTAGCTGCTATCCTAACAGCCACAAAAGAGCTGAGGCTAGGCCAGTCACGCACTGTAAAACAGTTCGAGAGACTGTTGGGTCTTGTGGCAGCAGCGTCCAACGGGATACCTTTTGGCCTGCTGTACATGAGACCTTTGCAGTGGTGGCGCAGGACCAGAGGGTTCTCCCCGAGGGGAAACACACTTCGTATGATCAAGATCACACGGCGGTGCCTTCGTGCCTTGGTTATATGGAGGAAACACTGGTTCTTAACCCAGGGTTCGGTGTTGGGAGCTCTTTGCCATCGAGTTGCTATCTCGACAGATGCTTCCCTCACCGGCTGGGGAGCGGTATTGGAAGGCCGCTCAGCTCAGGGCTTGGGAGGAGTCATCATCTCGCTTGGCACATGAATTGCCTAGAGATGATGGTCGTCTTCAATGCGTTGAGACATCTCCTCCCAGACCTGAGGGGCCATCATGTGTCTGAAACAGTGACTGTTAGGCCTCAGGGCAGCAGCGTTCAATGTGGTACCCTTTGACCTGCTGTACGTGAGACCTTTACAGTGGTGGCTCAGGACCAGAGGGTTCTCCCTGAGGGGAAACCCACTCCGTACGATCAAGATCACGCGGCAGTATCCCCGCGCCTTGGTTATATGGAGGAAACTCTGGTTCTTGACCCACAGACAACACGTTGGTGGCCTATTATTTTGGTCCCTCAGGAAATTACGCTGTCTGAGGGCAGTGTATATTCCAGGGGGGCCAGAATATTGGAGCAGACACCCTGTCGAGGCAGGGGCTGAGGCCAGGGGACTCCACCCCGAGGCGGTGGAGCAAATATGGGAATTTTATGGCCAGGCAGAAGTGGATTTGTTCTCGTCTCAGCATACGACGCACTGTCCACTCTGGTTATCCCTCACTCAACCAGTCCCCTCGGGGCTGGTTGCTATGGTGCAGACGTGGCTGAGGCTACGTCTGTACGCATTTCCCCCTGTTGCTCTGCTCCCAGGAGTTCTGGAGTGATTCCGCCAGGATGGAATAAGCCTATTTAGTAGCACCACCCTGGCCGAGCTGAATTTGGTTTGCGGACCTAATTTTTCTCCTCGACGGACCTCCCTTGGAGGTCCCGATCAGGAGAGACCTTCCGTCTCAGGCAGGGGATGCAATATTGCACCCCCGGCAGGGGATTTGGAAACTGTGGGTTTGGCCTCTGAGGGGGCCCAACTCATAGAGAGTGGTCTCTCAACCGAGGTTGTTGAGACCATTCTAAGCTCCAGAGCTCCCGCTACGAGGAAACTATATTCACTATTTCGAGAGTTTTTCACTTCTTGGTGTTACCAGCGTCAGTGGGATCCGGTTAACTGTTCAGTAAACACAGTATTCGAGTTTCTGCAAGAACGCTTTGTATCAGGTCTATGTCCTTCCACGCTTAAGGTATACGGGGCGGCCATTGCGGCTTTCCACGCCCTGGTGGGTAGTACATTTTTGGGTCGAGACCCCCTGATCACTCGTTTCCTTCGTGGCACTTTGAGGCTGAGGCCTGCAACTTGCACTAGGGTGCTGGCTTGGGACCTTGCAATAGTTCTAGAAGGCCTATCTGGGGCTGCCTTCGAGCCCTTAGATTTGGTCTCAGAGAAGTTCCTTTCTTTTAAGACTATTTTCTGCTAGCTATTTCGTCCCTATTAGAGTCAGACCTTCAGGCCCTTTCGGTCCCCACCTGCTTTGAGTGCACCGGGGATGGCCAAGGCATTCTTACCCGAAACATGGATATGTTCCAAAGGTGCCTACCATTATTCCGAGGCCTATTGTGCTGCAGGTTTCTGTCCTCCTTTTACATCTGCGGACCAGGAAAGGCTGAACCTCTTGTGTCCAGTGCGAGCACTGGATACTTATGTTCATCGGACATCTTCAATGAGGAAGTCCGACCAGTTATTTATTTGCTTTGGATCACCTAAGAAGGGTTTTCCTGCTTCTAAACAGACGGTTAGTAAGTGGATAGTTGAGGCTATTTCACTTGCATACGAGTACTCTGACCAGCCGTGTCCTTTGGTGGTCAGAGCTCACTCTACGAGGGGTATGGCGGCCTCTAAAGCCTTATTATTTGGAGTTTCTCTTCAAGACGTATGTGATGCGGCAGGCTGGTCCTCACCGCTCACGTTCGTCAGGTTTTACAGTTTGGACCTGGGTGCTGCCCCAGGTTCTCAGGTGCTTAGTGCTTAGTTCCAACAGACTAACACTCAAATGTTTGATGTTTCCCCATCTCTCTGTAGCCATCATTACTGCATGAATGCTTCTGGATTTTTCAATCTAAACTTTCCAGCTTTACATCTGGACAACAGCTTGTAAGCGGCACTCTCCTCACGCTGTGCCGTAACCAGCGGTGTACCACAGGGTTCAGTCCTGGGCCCGCTGCTCTTCTCCATCCACACCTGTTCCCAATTACAATAGAGGCCAAAAGTGATGTCCAGAGGGGATATTTTGTTTCTAATGACACTACAAGAATGATTAAACCATAATCATATATTTTTTAAATAGTCAAGTCAAGTCACCTTTATTTATACAGCGCTTTTTACAATACAGATTGTTTCAAAGCAGCTTTACAGTAAAAACAGGAAAATAATACAACAGAGTTTGTTTCTGTTGTACACCAGACCTAGAAAAAAATAGCGTCACAGTCCAGCTTAAGTAAGTTCAGTGATGGTTCATTTCTGTTGTAAAAAAGTTATTAATTTAGTTCATTTATCTATTGAGCTGCTTAGGAGAAAACCGTGATGTCATCGTCCAGCTCAGTTTAGTTCTTATATAACTGTGTTAATGCAGCAGATCAATAATATTGTTGAAAATTAAATGTCCCCAACTAAGCAAGACAAAAGTCAAAGGGGACAGAGGCAAGGACCCCAAACTCCATCAGGTGACAGAATGGAGAAGAAAAACCTTGGGAGAAACCAGGCTCAAATATGAGGCACTAAACTTGGTTAAGGTATTTATCTGACAAAATTATTTGACAAAAAAAAAAGTTAATTACAAAAAGTTAGCAAACTACAGTTACAGCTTTTATTTTACTATGCAAAAAAAAAAAAAAAAAAGCATACTACACTGACTACAGCATAATCAGTTATGCGTTCATAATTTCTTTTTATGACAGCCTGGCCACCAAAAATTCTCTGCACAATTTGGTATGTTTCAGTGCGTTATTAACACAAATAAAACAATCGAATCCATGCACAAATACGCAATATGCTTACAAAATCAACATTTCTTTTTTTAATATAAAAAAAAAGGTGAATATGTAGATTTTCCTAGGCCGGACATCACTTTTTGGCCACTACCTTACATAGTTTCTCTACTACCATAAAATTTAAGTTAAACAGTCCTTTTCAGGTTCTGGAGTTTATTCTGATGAGATGTAAACGCAATGTAAGATTAAAATGAACACATGAAAAGATGTGTTTTCAAATCTATCTGGATAGATGTGGACGTAGCCTTAATGCAATGTACATCATACTGTATTACTGCCATGCTTAACCATTGTTTTTGTAATTACTATAGTGATTTATGGTTGCACTTTACTTTACAGTATCTGCACTTATGTGTACTTACCTAAGAAAGTACTGGTTAATGTAAGGTAACTACATGGGTTAAGGTTGGGTTTAGGTTACGTTTTTACCCAATTATTGTAATTACTATAATAAGTACATAGTATCTACATAGGGGGAACAGGACTGTAAAATAAAGTGGACACTGTAAAAAAAAAGGTACACAACTTTAGTCATCCATTTCACAACCTTTACAGACATTAAAACAGAGTTCATGAAAAGCAAAGGTGAGATATGAAAGATTCTACTACTAACCATTCACCTGGAGCACGTGGGTTTGGGACAGATCCTCATAGCCGTATGCGTGACAGCTGTAGTTCCCCATGTGAATCGTAGTCACCTTAGTAATGTAGAGCGAGCCGTCGTCGCCAAAGTCCTAGTTGAACGGGAATAAAGAGGCGGAGAATAAAACAGCAGGAAGGCATGGGATGAATAGACTATGAATCAGTGGCGTCCCATGAGCGAGCGGGAGAAGGGGTTTGTTCCTCACTGTCATGCTCTCTCAGGCTGATAAATGGTAAGGGTTAAAAATATAGCCAGCGTTAGCGTGATTAATGAAGCCTGTTGTGGTTTTGTGAGGATGCGTCCCCTCATCTGGGGTTTTGGGCCGACTCAAGGGGGATTAAAACATTAAACTGTTTTGTAGTTATATGAGTTTGCCGAGGGTAAATGATTTAAGGACACGAAATCTCGCTCTTAAACCCTAACACACCTGCAGCTTTATAGGGCGCACTGAAAAGGGCTCGGCTGCCGCACAGGGAACAAAACTGCGATTTGTTTGTTTAGGAGGTCGTCACTAATCCAGCGAGATGGATGATCAGCTCCTGGAAAAACACTAATTTGCCTCCAAGTGCTGAAGTTTTAGGATGAAGAGGGCAGAAGTGACTCTCTTCCAAGGACACGGATGCTGTGGAAACCCAGCGACAAAAACTAATTACTTTTTTTATTAAATATAGATTATGTGACTGATAATTCTTCACCTCTGCCGTAAGGCCGATATTATGCTGCATAAGGAGGACTCGTAGACGTTTTCATCACTGTGTTGCCTGCCACTTTCTGATGAAATGTAATTAAGAGTTTGTCATTCAAATTTTTAAATCAATTGTCAGATAATGTCTCGTGATGAGGTTTAACCGAAATAACAGCACCACAACTACAGTTAATAAACGCCTAATTAAAATGTTCGGAAAACACAAAAACACTAGGGAAATTTAGCTGGCATTAGATTTAGAATCAGAGATGTGTGTTCGTCACACAACTGTGCCAATTTATCTCTAAAGCGGTAAAGGTGTGAACTGAAGGAGCTGTTTAACGAATAAAACATTAGATAAGCTTTTTATTGGCAATTTCCTCTACTAAATGTTTCTGGAGCCGCTGAGGTGCATTTGCACGCTCCTCCTCGCTTCAGATCACACAACAGACTGCAGCTGGATTGAGGTCACGACACTGGCTTGGCGTTTCTCAAATCTAGAGCTTCTTCTGTTTGAACCCTCAGCAGTTCATTTACTCCTGGGTCAGTGGTGTGTTGTGTTGCTGGGTCTTACAACACACAGCATCACCTGAAAAACAACTTCACTGCTTCAAATGTAATGCTGTGTGTATTTTCAGAAACTAGTTGTTAAATATATGGCATTAAAAAAAGTTATGATTTCAGATTAATATCAGGACACTTCCCAGACAGCAACAATGCGTGGAATCCACATGTACCAGATGTGGCCCGGATCTGGGCCGACACTGTGTTGCTGTCTGGGTTGTTCAGTCTACATAAAGTTTTATTGGACATTAATAGAAATTCAAATATGCCTTTTTCTCTCAGCGGTATAAGACAAATCTGCCTGAAATGAAAAAAAAATCTCATTCTGTTTTCAGGATTATTTCCTTCAAATAGAGATTTTAAGATCAGATGCTTTGCTCGTTCAAAGGACATGATGGAATAAAAGAAAAAATGTGTAAATTAAAAACCCCTTTTCCTTACTAGACACATATAAATGAATGCTTTCAATAAATACTAAAAAAAAAAAATATGCAACATCAAAATGTAGCACTGAACTCGCCTGTGTGAAGTTCTCATTGGTCAATAGATGTCTGCGTCAGAATGCAAAAGTTAAAACTCTTTCACAGAGTGCCAGATTCCCATTACATCCCTTGGAGCACATCTAAACTTTCCTGCTTTACATCCAATCTGGATATCAGCTCGTAAGCGGCACTCTCCTCAGGCTGTGCCGTAACCAGCGGTGTACCACAGGGTTCAGTCCTGGGCCCGCTGCTCTTCTCCATCCACACCCGTTCCCAATTACAATCGAGGCCAAAAGTGATGTCTGAAAGGGATATTTGTTTTTATGACCCTACAAGTTTGATTAAACCATCAAAAAATTCGGAACATATTTTAAATATTAGGGAAGAACAAAACACTGAACTTGGTTAAGGTATTTATCCGACAAATTGACTGAAATCAGCTGGATTGAAATCAATGATTCACGGCATGAACTGCCAAACTGACAGGTTTAACGGAAACCAACAAAGACTGAGAAGCACCTGTAAACGATCCAACCCAGACAGAAACATAGTGTCGGCCCGGATCCGTGTGGAATCGACGTGTACCAGTTGCGGGCCGGATCTGGGCCAACACTGTTGCTGTCAGGGTACTGTACGTACACCCTAAAACTCTAGCTACTATACAGCTGTAAACAGGCACCATATGCCTCATTTTTAAAGAGCATTCAACAGGGAGAAGCATGTAGAATAAACTCTTCTTTTCCCCTGGGAAGCCGTCCGAGGAATCCCAATCAATGCCTAAGACCTCACAATCAAACACAGTTACACATGCTGATGCTTCAAGACACAATCACGTATTTACAGTCAAACCAAAATGTATTTAGACACCTTCAACATTTCTCACATTATCACAGTTTATTCGCTATAGTTTAGATGAAGGTAATGAAATATGAGCAGAACTCAGTGGATATTTGACTGGTTTTGTCCGTCCTTCTGTTAGACTCTCACTCATGAATTATGTTGAATATCAGTCAGCTGTTAAATTTAACTACACAATTAGATAATACCAGTTTAGCTCAACCAGTGACTAAGCAATGCTTCATGTTGTTCAGTGTGTGTGTAAAAAGAGCATTAGCAGTTACAGAAAACACACTTCAGCAAAACAAGATCAGCTCAAATTGGAGGAATCAATTATGGTCCCATATTTGTATAAATGTTACTGGTAGTCACTGTATGAAGAATATTTGGGTATAATATAAAGTCACAGTTTACTTTATTTTGATCTCCTCACTTACATAAATGAACTATAGTGTCCTGATCACACTAGTGAAACAATATAAAAAAAATACATCTGGTGTCGGAATCAGTTTTGGTTTGTCTGTATTTAGTTTCCTGGTTTACTGTAAGAACACATCGTCTTCCGCAGCGTCCCGATTCTCCGTCTCATTCAGCACTCTTCACCGGTGCTCGCTCTCGTTGACCCGCGCGTCGTCGTTGACTGGGTCAGTGTTGCAGCGTTCAGCAAACACTTCATTAACATGCAATTAGAGTATTGTAATGAGCGAGCGCAGAAACACAACCCCATGCTGTCAGGAACCCAGGTGAGCTAAACACAAGCGAGACACAGCTCATTAAACACTACCCGTTCCCACCCCGAGCATGTCCGCTTCTCAAAACCTGCAGTCCTTTGAAATCAGCACGACTCCTGAGAACTTATTTACAATTACATCATGATAAAATGAAGTGGAGGAAACACAAATATGTTTAGTAATTGCAAACAGAAAGTGTGCCTCAGAATGCAGAGCATAATGAACATTAACATTTGTAATTTGTTTTGGCACGAGCTTCAATTCTCTAACATTCTGATTAATTGGTGAAAATCAATGCAACTGGCCCCCGACTGAGCCTCCTGCTCTGGGTGATTATCAGATATGCAGCAGCTGCACAATTAACAGGAGGATGAAATCATTTCACATCAGGAAAGAAACTCGGCATGGTTTCTCACCTTGAGAAGGTGTTCTCAGTACCACGACATTCCCTTTTAATCCAAAATACGGTAAAAATACGCCATTGCACGCATATAACTAAAGGTGATGATACACAGGGCAACATTTTGAGCAATGTTGCTGGGAAATGTTGCCATCAACGGGCAACGAGATGAGACACAGGGCCCACGACTGACCTAAATTATCCAGATAGAAATGTATTAATGGGAAAAAGCCCAAGCAACAATCGCTCGGCAAGATAGCCCAGCAACATTGCTCAAATAGTTGCCCTGTGTATCATCACCTTAAGTTATGCTGTTGCAAAAAGTGCAACAGGTGAGCTTCACTGCACATCAAGCATAAGACATTATAAAGGGTTTCCAGAAAGGATCAGGTCAATATTTCATGCTAGGGGCTCCGGAAAGATGTCATCGTGTTTTGTGGTTTTGAGTTCAGTTACACAAACGTGTATTTTTCTAGCAGTGACTATTCATGTCGAACCTCTTGAATTAGAATAATCTTTGTGAATTCGGTCTGCCACACCATCTTATCTCAGCGTACATTTAGATAAGAGTCAACAACACGGTACAACAAAAGACGGTTTTGACTGAAAGGGTTTTTCATGACTTCTGTACATGCACTCTCATAATGCGATTATAGTGTGATTTGGGGAATTGTAAGGGTTCTGGTTCCTGTTTGCTCGAGATGAACGCTCTCCTGTTTCATGTGAGTTGTTTTGCAGTGTTCGGATGGCGGCACTTCGGTCTAGTTTGGTTGCATTTTGAGTCGTTTACTTATGCCTTTCCCAAAATCTCACAGGTAACAATGCGATTATTCTTAACCTGATTTTAATAACAACAAAAAGGCATGTAAACACTTTAACCTTTTAGAACCGGCTGTGTCGTCGCCGACACATACCAGCAAGCTGTATTCATTTTACTGTAACTCTTCAACCGTTTGCACTATCAAAGCCCCTGACAGTAGACAACATGCGCTTTTCGGCAATATACGGCTTATTACGGTAATTTTATGTTCCCGTCAGCAAATGACAGCAGCTTTCTGTCAGAGCGGGAAGGAAGGATTCCCTTTCAAGGGAACTTCGAGCTGCGTTTGAGACGCGGTGGGAACGCTCTGCGTGATTGCGTCATGAAGCACGTGTAAAATCAGTCCAATGGAAGCCCGATACGTCATAGGTGACGTCATAGACCAGGAAACTATAAAGCACCCTTGAAAACAGACCGCGACAGCTTCTGTTGTCTTCAGTTAGCGCTCTCTGTGACTCTGTCCTTGTCTATTTATTGTTGTCTGTCCGATCATTCATTTATATATATCATTATGGCGAGCAAGCAAGATTACAAACGTTGTGTTGTCCCTTGCCCTCGTTTCATTACGGGTG